GAAGGAAGGAAGGCTGAGTTAACCTTGAGCTGGTCAGGATCGGACTCCTGGCAGTGGGCAGAGTCAGCCTGCAATGCAGCCAATTTGAGACTGCCTCTGTGAAGACAGAAGAAGGAAGGTAGCTCAGGTGTCTCCAGTGAATTTTTCTCCTCGTTTTCTTGACTTTCAAATCTTTTTATTCACTTCTTTTATTTTGAAACAGGATTTAATGCAGGAAGTTAATGATTTGCGCTTAAAAGTAGGAGAAATGGACAGGGAAAGACTACAGTATGAGAAAAAACTTAAGTCTACCAAAGTAAGTCCATGTTACAGATAAAGAAATGCATCTTTGGCCATCTTTATCTCATGACATATGTATCTATCTTCATGTCTCTCTCTTTTTTTAACATAAGGTTGATTCATTGATGTGGCAGCCAGAACATGATTGGCTTAAACCTGGGTTTCAGGTGGTGTGGCCAGATGATGGTTAGAAGCTGTTTCTATGAGACTGTCTTTGGGAATGGCTGGCATTTAAATGTTTCCTTCTTCACATCAGAGAAGGAAAATTGAGGAATTGTCGAAAGCAAGCTAGACTTCTAGCCAGAAATGCAGCTTTCTCTTTCTGTAGTTATATATGCTAGCCCTTAAGAGTGTAATTCACAGAAGGAAAGCGCAAGATATCACATTTGCTAAGAAGAAATTAGCACGGGGTTTATTTTAAAATGCCTAATTATCTTGCTCATGTAGAAAAAGGAGATGGTGGCTAGATACCTTCTTTGGAAAGAGAAAGTTAGATCTTTGGGTACATAATTTCATGCTAATTGGAAGACCACATTGGAAAATGATATGAAAAGTGAGTTTCTAGAACTAACAGATAACAGATAATCAGAGTTGGAAGGGACCTTGTAGTTCATCTAGTCCAACCCCCCGCCCAAGCGGGAGACCCTGCACCATTTCTGACAAATGGCAGTCCAATATCTTCTTGAAACTCTCAACTGTTTAAGAAGAACAACAATGGGGTTGAGAATCACTTGGATTTGACACCAGAGTTGTGATTTGTGTGTGTAGGAGCCCAAACGTAGAATCTTGTCTACAGCAAAGGTGGAGAACAATGGCTCCTTTATGACTTATGGTCTTCAACACGGCTGGCTCAGGAATTCTGGGAGTTGAAGTCCACAAGTCATTCCCCACTTCTGGTCTACAGATTCTGAAAGCAGCCACATCATTTCCCAAGCTTGCGACTTCCCAATCTTTTCTTACAGCCCAAAGCCAAAGCTTGAAGGTATAACCGAAATCAGTGTTAAAATAATTAAAAGTAGAGTAATATAAATAATCGTGATAGTTGATATAACTGTGGGAGAACTTTATTAATCAATGCTTACTTTTTACAGCTGCTACTCAATATTGGGCCATAATCTAATTGATTTACAGTTTGCAAAAAGCTTTGAACCTACAAGTATCATCAGGTTGCTCTAGGTATTGATGTAAGAGGAGAAGGTTATGGGAATTACAAACGTCTCTCTAGAAGCTGTAGTAAAGTTCTATGTGTTGGCTGTTTCAGCACCTCCAGATTTAATAGGCAAACACATCTCTCAAATGGAATTTTAGAAATATCTTCCTCATAATAATACCAAAAGCAGAATATTATGACTTACCCCAAAGAATCTCTTCCATAAGTTGGCAGATCTCTGAAGCATGATCATTGGCCATTTTCAAAAAAAGCTCTTTGTCACCAAGTCCTATTTTGTACGATAGATAATTTACTGAAAGGGTCCTTGGTGCTCTCTGAGCTTGGTGGTTTTCTTGCAGACGTTTCATTACCCAACTAACATCATCAGTGCTAGAAGGGAGTGGGGTTTGTGGAGAGGAGGAGGAGGAAAAAACAGAAGACTATATGTTCTCTGAGCTTGGTTGTTGTTTTTTGCAGACGTTTCATTACCCAACTAGGTAACATTATCAGTGCTAGTCATTTCAACTCTGAACTACAAACATTCTCCTTTATAGGTTATTGACTTCTGCCTGAAATTCTGTGTCCTTAAATTTTTGGAGAGGTATAAGTTTGTTAAGGTCACAGACCCACAGTTCATAAACACTGTGAACTGAAAATCATCTGTTTTTGTTCTGTGATGTCCTTCCTGGTTGAGTGACAATCATCAATCATTATGAGGGGTCCTTGGTGCTCTCTGGGCTTGCTTGTTTTCTTGCAAATATTTCATTACTCTAGGTAACATCATCATTGCTTGACTAGCACTGATGATGTTACTTAGAGTAATGAAACATTTGCAAGAAAACAAACAAGCTGAGAGAGCACCAAGGACCTCTCATTTCAATCCTGAGCTACAAATTTTCTCCTTTATCAATCACTAGCCGATAACCTGGCATTGCCTGGGTATCTGTTTATCCTAATCCTGTATTAGACAGGAAAAGCCCTGATTTCAGTGACTTGGAAGAAACGTAATCTCTAATGTTGGATTTCCCCCATTACCAAAGAGAGACCCCTTGTGGAGTACTGTGAACCCGATACTATGGCAACTCCACTGCGCTGTACAATAGAAACCATTTTAAGGCAGTACGGTAGAAGCCACTTGAAGGCACAACAGGCTGTATCTTAACAGAACATACACCCTGAGAGGTGTTGGGGGGTATCTTACCCCCACAGTATTTGTTTCCAGAGAATAAGTAGTAATCTGTGTACCAAGTTTGGTTGAAATTGCCCAAGGTGTTCCAGAGTTATGCTGAAATAATAAATATAGATAGATAGGAGAAGATTATTATTGGGATTGGGTCCTAGAGAAAAAGACACGGCTGCTTTCAGAGGTTGAAGACCAGGAGCAAAATTCACCTTCTCACATGGTCCAAAGCACAAGATTTGAAGATCAAATCCAGAGCACAGCAAACTTTTGATCCGCCATATTGTGCAGTTCACGTCAGATCTGTCCTTCATAACGGCTAATTTAAAGTCTTCTGCTTCAAAGGTTTGGTGTCCTTTGATAGGCCTATCTTTCACTGAAGGTCATCATCCCTCTCGCGTTGAACGTAGTAGGGCTGTTTATTATTCTTATTATTTAGCCTTTTCTCTTCCTACATCTTTACTTCTCTTTCCATCCTCTGTCCCTCTTGCCAGTCTTTAATGGCCAAACTTTCTAGCATGAAAATCAAAGTGAGCCAGATGCAGTATGAAAAGCAACGGATGGAGCAAAAATGTCAAATGTTGAAGGTCTGGTAGATTGGTGGATTTCCGTGGCTCTTTACCATCTTGTTTGTCTTCATTTTAAAACTTTTTTTTCTTTTTGGTGTGGTGCATGTGTGGATTTTTTTTTCCTCCTGTTCCTACATAACCGCCCCCCCCCCCCCCCGATGTACGTCTCCAACTAAACCAAAAGTATCTGTGTGCGTTTCTATTTTATTTTATTTTGATTTAGCCTAATACACAAAACCATCAGTTGCCGGTTTCTTTCTTGAAATGGGTTAAGCTGAGCTTTTAAAAAAGAAACACCACCTTAGCTTTCCTTATTGTAAACCAATATTCCATTTGTTGGGGCAGCTGTATTAACCTCTTACATCTTGGCTGACAAGCGTGCCTTTATTGCAGAGAATATTCCTTGATTTTTGGCCTATCCACATTTTTTTAAAGTTACATTGGATTATTAGATCCTTCTGGTATTTTGATTTTATAGAAAGGGAGGATCCCAACTGACTTCTTCTCCAAAGAACCAAAGAAGCTTCTCGGAGGAGAAGCAAAACATCTTCTATCATAGTTTATTCATTTATCCATGTCTGCATTTTTTTTCTTATGCGCAAATGTACAGAGTACACAGTTACATTCCTACACATACACTATTTTTAAAAAATCATTTTACGCATCAAAGCCTGCTTGAATCATTTTTTGTTTGTGAAAGATATCGTTGTAAGAACTTTCAGTCTGGACTCACTTCCACTGAAAGCAGTGAGGGTAGAATTGTGCTTGTCGATATTGTACACGTAATTGTTGGTGAAAACGTGTCATGCATGAGCAAATGGTAATGAAGATCCTTTAAGGATCACATTTCAGTTCAACCCAGGATACTGAATGTTTAAATCAGAGATGGATTATGTTTTTGGCTGGAAGACAGGTTATTTTTATATTTGCATGGGTAAGGTTCAACTTACAACCATTTGCTTAATGGCCATTTGAAGTGACTTATAACAGATCATCAAGCTGACAATCATTTCAGCATCCCCGTGGCTGCATGATCCAAATTCAGATGCTTGGCAATGGATTCATATTTACGATGGTTGCAAAATGTTCATAAAATGGGCTGTGGCTCACTTAACAACCACTTTATATATCCATAGAAAATCTGGTGGTCCCAATTATCGTGGTAAGTTGAGGACTGCCCGTGATATAATTGACACCTTTGAAATGCCATTATTTCAAAATAAATGAACGCCATCTCTACTTTAAACAGCCAACGTTGGTTTAAACCTGTCCCTTTTTAGAAGTGAAAAACAAAATAATATATGTATATATTTTCCCCCCTGTCTGCTCAGGAAGAACTATTGTCTTTAAAAGAGAAATTAGAACAGAAGGAATCGGAGATAAAACGATTGCATGAGAAACTGGTCCTTCAAGTCAAAGAAGACATTGACATCAATGACAAAGGTGAGGTGGAAATTGTAAATACCATTTTTTGTGAGGGATTCTAGGAGTTGAAGTCCATACAGTTCAAGCTGAAAGCCACAGATCTTAAAGTTGCTAAGGTTGAGAAATCCTGGGCTAGATGGTTGCTTATTATTTTTTAACAAGCCAAATGGCAACTCATAAAACATTTCTATGCCTGTTTTAGAGTTGCCATGAACAGAAGGGAGAAGGTGAGGAGAAATTTGAAAGAGCAGTGCAGCAGTTTGGAACTGAAAGTGTGTTCCATTCATATCTTGCAAAAATTATAACTATGCTACCGGAATTTCTGCCCCGCAAATCTCTCATTGGAGAATGTGATTGGTGACTCTTGGCTATGAACATGATTGGAGAACGTGATTGATGACTCTTGGCTATGAACGTGTTTCGTTGGAGAATATGAATTATGATACACCCAGAAGGGTGGTGGGGAACCAGGGTCAAGGCTGACAGTGAATTATGTGTCTCAGAATCGGCTTCATACAAGTCATGCCAACATGTTTGCTCCTAATAAATCCTTTGAAGTTTTTGAAACTTGGCTTGACGCTTGTGATTTAATTAGAGCAACTGCAGGAATCCTGACACCAGGAACAAGTCAATTGTATTTGCCTCTCTCCCTACACCCTACCTGTAAGTCACTAGGAGTAGAAAATTTACTTTGGACATTCTTAAAATTAGGCTGAACAATTTCCTTTTAAAACACGCACCTCAAAAACTAAGCATTTACCCTTTGAAATTAACATCAGCAAATATGAAACAGTGTTGAAGATTTCAGAACAAGGAACAGCTAAATGTACACCTTTAATAAAAGCTAAACAAGCACGAACTTTTTAAATAAAGTAAGAAGCCACAAATTTTTGATTCATGGCATTATAAACTGGTTTTACTTTCTGAAGATGTGTGAGCTCCGAGTGTAATAATTAGCTGATTTATTCAGTTTAGAGGCCATTCAAGTCAATTTTTGATTCTGGACAGCTTACCAAATTGCAATCAATGCTGCATTTTATCCATCTGGGAACAAGGAGGGTGTGTTTGGTGCTTTTTCAAACCTTTTAACCAACAAACCATATGAGTTGTATTAGTTTGTTAATTTAAAATTATTCAATTAGCTAAATTTAATAGCTAAATTTTAAAATAACTAAATAACTGTACATAATTAAACCTTGGAAATAATAAATGCATCTATATTATTGCAAAGGTTTTACATTTGATGGGTTACTCCAACGTCATGATGCAGATCGTTATCGGTGGCATCCTGTGAGCCACGAATAAAATTTTTGCATTGTGCTTTAAAAGTGAAGACATTAAGATGTGGATGATTTTAAAAATCAGGTCAATCTCAACTGTGAAAATTTAGGGAGTGATTTTACCAGTTACTCCCTCTTGACCCAATTTCACAAAGTGGTTGGGGGTAGGAGATTTGCAGTAGGCATGCTAAGTGAACTGCTTTTGAGGTTCTAGATTTTTACATGAATGTTGTGGCTTGTCAGCCACCACCAGCTGAATCAGAGGAGGAGGAGGTGTGGGAGTCAGGGTCAGCATCAAAGCAACCTGGGAGCTCCGAGGGGGAAGAGGGAATGGAGCTGACAGAGAGAGGGGTGCAGGCAAAGCCTGGGCCATCTATCAGCCCTCAGATGGAGAGTCAACAGCCCCCAGGTCTGGAGGTGGAGAGGAAGAGGAGGAACAGCTGGGTCCAGTGCCTGATGTGCAGATGCGCAGAAGGCAGAGGAGAGGACAGCAGTGGAAATCTATGGGCTGGTCCTCGGGATGGAAGAGCCACTGCTGGTAGCAAAGCCCCACCAGAGCTCTGGGGATAAAAGGCAGGGGGTGGAGATGAATAGATGTGGCAGACACCTTGTCAGAATTCCGTCAGTTACTCCAATTAAATCATGAGCCTCGAGCCACACTCCCAAAACTAAAGAGGGTTTATTTGAAGTTAACATTCTACATCTGGCACTAACCTGCACATAGCCAACTCTGAGAAATGTAATTCACTGTCACCCTTTATCCTGCTTTTCTCCCCACCCCTCTGGGTGTATCATCCAATGAAAAACATCCATAGCCAAGAGTCATCAATCATGCTCTCCAATTCGATTTTTGTGGGGCAGAAGCTTCAGTCATCTAATCAGTCTTTAAAGA